TTCTATAGTCCAGTGTAGTTTCTATAGTCCAGATGTGGTTTCTATAGTCCAGGTGTTGTTTCTATAGTCCAGTGTAGTTTCTATAGTCCAGATGTGGTTTCTATAGTCCAGGTGTTGTTTCTATAGTCCAGGTGTTGTTTCTATAGTCCAGTGTAGTTTCTATAGTCCAGTGTAGTTTCTATAGTCCAGTGTAGTTTCTATAGTCCAGTGTAGTTTCTATAGTCCAGTGTGGTTTCTATAGTCCAGCTGTGGTTTCTATAGTCCAGCTGTAGTTTCTATAGTCCAGATGTAGTTTCTATAGTCCAGCTGTAGTTTCTATAGTCCAGCTGTAGTTTCTATAGTCCAGCTGTAGTTTCTATAGTCCAGATGTGGTTTCTATAGTCCAGGTGTGGTTTCTATTGTGCACATGTGGTTTCTATCGTCCAGGTGTTGTTTCTATAGTCCAGGTGTGGTTTATATAGTCCAGTTGTGGTTTCTATAGTCCAGTTGTGGTTTCTATAGTCCAGGTGTGGTTTCTATAGTCCAGATGTGGTTTCTATATTCCAGATGTGGTTTCTATAGTCCAGATGTGGTTTCTATAGTCCACGTGTGGTTTCTATAGTCCAGGTGTGGTTTCTATAGTCCAGGTGTGGTTTCTATAGTCCAGATGTGGTTTCTATAGTCCACATGTGGTTTCTATAGTTCGGATTTGGTTTCTATAGTCCAGGTGTGGTTTCTATACTCCAGATGTGGTTTCTATAGTCCAGATGTGGTTTCTATAGTCCACATGTGGTTTCTATAGTCCACGTGTGGTTTCTATAGTCCAGATGTGGTTTATATAGTCCAGGTGTTGTTTCTATAGTCCACATGTGGTTTCTATAGTCCAGGTGTGGTTTCTATAGTCGAGGTGTGGTTTCTATAGTCCAGGTGTGGTTTCTATAGTCCAGGTGTGGTTTCTATAGTCCAGATGTTGTTTCTATAGTCCAGGTGTGGTTTCTATAGTCCAGGTGTGGTTTTATAGTCCACATGTGGTTTCTATAGTCCACATATGGTTTCTATAGTCCACATGTGGTTTCTATAGTCCACATATGGTTTCTATAGTCCACATGTGGTTTCTATAGTCCACATGTGGTTTCTATAGTCCACATGTGGTTTCAGTTTTCAGTCTAGTCTTAAAAATAGACAGAGGGTCAGCCTCACAGACAGAAACTAGAAGTTGGAGACTAACTGAAGGATCCAGATCCCGTTCTATTTTTAGAWCCTCTAGGAGTCACAAGTAAACCTGTAGTCTGAGTGAAAAAGGACCACTTCATGTCGGATTTAAAAGCAGAACTAGTGAATCTGCTGGAGGTCAAAGGTCAATCTCATTTGTTTTAATAAAACTCTTCAGATCTTAAAGTTCATCCAAACTTTGTGATTTTGCAGCCTTGAGGAAACCAGAAATATAAATCCAAATAATTTGACTCGTTTAATCTTCAGACTTTTTTTTGTAAAGAACTGATGTTGATCTGATGTTTTAGTTTGTCAGAGAAAGTTTAAGCCAAACTTAAAACAAAACCTTTTCTCCTTTAACAGTTTAAACAAAATTTATTTATTTTATTTAACTAAAATTACATCAAATATGATAAATAAACAGAAAATAAAAACATCTGTTTTTTCCATATGGATAAAAATGATTAATTTACAGTAACAACAAAAGGTTTTTAAACTTACATGAGGTTAAAAATGTTGAAACTATTTCCTGCAGATTTTCAAAATAAAATACAAGAACTGCTGGAAAATAATCAACAGATTCTGTTTCAAATAAATTGAGATTTTTTCCTCCAGAAATGAAGGATTTTTATTTCTGTTCACATAAATCTGACGTCTTCAGAAAACGAAAAACTACTAATCAAATCAGAAGATTTCAATTATTTAATGTTATTTATACATTACATAGTATTTATTGCTGAATCATGTGACCGTATAGTTATTTAGTAAATAAGAAGAAATTATTCTAGTTTTGATGCTAAATAAAACATTTATAATGTTAACCTGCTCATGAATAAATAAACAAACAAAATATTGTTATAAATAATATTTTGTGTTTCCTTTTATCAAACTTTAATTTTTTTCTCACAATGTTAGTTCTGAAAAGATGCAGATGTTTGTTTATATATTTAGGGGTTCCCTCACAAACAAAC